TTTTCTTTTATGCCGATTCCACGAAAAGAAACAGCATTGTCTGCTTGCTTCACTATTCATAGCTACAAAAGAGAATAATCAAGACATAGGATAATATGTTTATAAAGCTTTTACAATTGAAAGTGATGGTGCTAGTAGATTCAGTATCGTCGAAAACAAGTATTCTCATGCTTAATTTACATTCATTCAGGATGTGAAAAACCATGTTATTCGGTATCTTACAAAATCTATAACTCTTCAAAGAAAAGATCAAATGATGTAAAAATTATATGAAGGATAGAGCTAGAGCCAGGCTACATTCTGGTGTAATTTGAGCCTATATTGCTATAGAAACTATGGGAGTGATGTATCGAAAAAGATATTCGTTTGTCAAAACACATAGAAAAATTTCCACTCACAGTGCCTCGCATATAGCTAGATGCTCCCCGCACCGCTCTATCGAATGACCAAAAGCTGAACTCGATAGCTATCAACAGTGAAGAGTTATTCAAAAAATGGCGGCTCGCATTTAAAAAAAAATCCGGCAATAGTGCTTCTAATATTCTATCTTCAATGCAACTCATCCTTTCAGTAGAGGTTAGCAGCATTTGCGCTGCGTTACTTGTTATTAAATATTCAAATCCTTAATTACTATACAATACAAGAAAATCCTATTGAATATTAACTTGATTATTTATTTACATACATGTAAAATTCGAATAGTCGTAACGACTATTCAACTATTCCACGATTGAATAGTTGAATTTATGACTATTCAACTACTCGAGTATTCACCGCTTAACGACTATTAAACTATTCGAACATAGACCAGATCGGAACGACTAAAACCACATACACATGCTGTGGGTGCTACGGAACACAGATCAGATCGTAACGACAAAAACCCTGCAGACATACTTCGGATTCCATGGAATAGGAATAGTCGTAAAGTCGCAAAATCGTTAGTAGTTGAATAGTCGAATAGTTGAAAAGTCGTTACGACTTAACGAGTTCTATACTACTGTAGTTCACCGGAAAAATTACCGGTGAACCATGGTTAACCGATGAAATTTATAACGAACCGTGGCATCAATTAAAACCGGTGGTTTACCGTTAAAAATGATTCGATTTTTGTGACATGGATACATTATGATGAGTGTCTTTTACATGCGCTTCTAAACTATTGTATATTTGGAGCCATTTTGTTTCTAAAAACTGTTCTTCAAAAAAGTCGCCAATTTTACGCCGGATTGTCACCGGCCGGACCGGACCGTTTTATCATTTTCTTACCGATTCTAACTCTGATTCCTATTATTGGAACTACTAACAAAAAACAAACAATACTTTAATTTATTTATTAACGAAAATAAATAAAAGTTTACACATATATATTACTAGAAGTACGATTAAGAAAAAAGTTAGCATTTAGCTTCTTAAAATCTACCATTTATTCACATTCAATAGATATCATTGCAGAAATGAAGAATTGAGGTTAAATTTTTACTTTCATATTCTTAATTAATATAGGTCAGGTTTTATAGATTTAAAAAAAAATTTCTGTATATATTTTAAATAGAAAATTTTACATAACGACGATATATCAAATACTAAGTCTGATTTTAAGATCTTATTCTTCCTTTTGTTTAAACACGCATTAGTTTTCAATTATGATCTACTAAAAAAACTGATCATTTACGAGATAATAAAAATTACATGCTTTTTTTTGTCACACATTTGACAAAAGGTAGACATTTGATGCAGAGGCCGAAACGGGGCGGGGCCCCGAAGCGGGGAGCATTTTTGGCTGAACGGGGCGGGGCGGGGAGCATTTTTGACTGGACGGGGCGGGGCGGGTAAAGAATTTGGGTGAAATAGCCGGGGCGGGGCGGGGCGAAGAGAGAAAAAAAAAATTTTGGGGGGGGGGGGGGGGGGGGCGGGGTGGAGATTAGTTATGACGAGACGGGGCGAGACAGAATGAAGGAGACTTCCAGAAATTTTCCCCGTTCTTCAGTTTCACATTCAAAACTCGTATATGCATGGTACAACTGTTGTAATAACTCATACGAAATTGTTGTGATAGATGTCATTGTCTTTCAGCGTTAAACTTATAGGGTGTGGGTGTGTGTGGGCGCGGGTATGAGTGTTTATGAATGTTAGACTTACATCCACACATATACCCTCACCAACATCCGCACCCACAATACCCGCATCCACACATACACCCTCACCAGCATCCACATCCACCCCCATATCCACACTCACACTCACACCCACGCCTTCAAGGAAGGGTCGGAAAAAATCGAGGCAAGGCGGAGCGGAGCGAGGAAAGCTATTGGCGGGGCGGGGCGAGGAAAGCTATTGGCAGGGCGGAGAAAGCTTTTGACGGGGCGAAGCGGGGCGGGGAAGCAAAAAAAAGAATCAATGTCGGGGCGAGGCGGGGAAGCAAGAAAAAAATAAATGTCGGGGCGGGGCGGGGAGTGAAAAATCCACCCCGTTTCGACCTCTGATTTGGTGATTACAAATGATAAATCTCTTTATTTAAGATAAAATATTATCAACAAGAAGTGGTTTACAAAGAAGATCACATAATTATTGATGTGTCTATTGATGAAAAACATGTTTATATTTATTTACATGTTACTTTTATCAAGAGTGAATATAATTTATGGATTTGATGCAGGTTTTATCGAACTATCATCTTCTCGTCAAAATGATAAAGATACAACGCATTATGGTATAACTGTCTGTGCACTTTGTCGTGTAACAATTGACTATTTAAAATCAGCATATAATATCGATACAACATATTTAGAAATAAAATTTAATGAAATAAATGGTCAATGTCAAGGAAACATTGTTAACGATATAATCAATTTATTAAGAAGTTCTCAAGCAAAAGGTATTAATCCATGGCTTTATTCAACAACAATTAAAACAATAGCATCAGCAAATACAAAAACAGATTTAAAAGAAATGTTTAAAGAAGAAAGTCATTTTGATAGTGAAACATTTGTTCAAGGATCAAAATTAATAATGAAAAGATATCAAACAATATTAGATGCAATTATAAAAGTTGATAATTATGATCAAGGACGTAAAACATTTGGAGAAATGTTACATACAATACAAGTTAGTTTATTTTACTATTATTATTTTATTTTATTATATTTATATATATATAAAGGATTTTTATAGTCATACAAATTTTATTGAACTTGAATATACATCACCAAGTGATGTTCTTGGTAAAAGAATTTTTCAAGAAAATGAATATGCACCGATTAATATGAGAACATGTATTAGTTGTACAGGTCAACAATGTCAAATAAATACAAATTTAGATGAAAATATTCAGAAAAATAAATTACTTACAAGTGGATATTTTATACCAATTGGTTTTAATTTATTTAAAAAATCAAAACCAAAAGGAAAATGTTCACATGGAGGTTCTTTTGATAGTTCACAAAATGATGAACCAATAGGTGGTATTAATAAAGATAAATTAAATTCAGTTCATGGTCATTTACATTCTCAAGCAGCATCTATGGCTTATAAAGCTACTCTTAATATTTTAACACAACTTCGAAAAGATATTGGTGATGAATCATTTGGTTTATTTTTAACATTAAAAAAAAATCTAAATAGTCTTATTATATCAATTGATACATCGTGTTCCATTGATAATTATATCGATTTAGCTAAAGATATATCAACTAATATTATTAATCAATATGGTCAATTAGAATTTGCTCCACATAATTATATATTAATATCATTTAATAGTGATTATGCTAAGTTAATTATTAATTCTCGTAATCCAAATGATTTAATTACTAGTCTTCAAAAATTAAATTCATGTGAAATTAATAATTCAACATTAGGTCAAATGTATTATCATAGTCTTGTTGAAGGATTAAAACAATCTGAATCTTCATCAGTCTTTTATACATTTACTGATTCACCAGCAAGAGATGCTTATTTTAAATATAAAGCACGTGCTTTACTTCGAAATAAACATCTTGTTATTTATTCATTTTTGGGTCAACAAATAAAGAAATTTTTATTTAAAAGACAATTTGATCTTATTGATCAATTAGATGGAAATGATGATGATACAGATTTAGCATCGATTAGTGGTGGTCTTACGTATCCTATTAGTGTTAATGATCGACCTGTTATTTTAGAATTTATTCTTCGTCGATTAGAATGGACAAAATTGCAAAATTTAGTTATTGTTAAATCTAATTTGATATCAATTACATTTCATGTTGATTCATCTATTGATGAACTTCATATTGATATATCATCAATAGGTAACTAGAACTTTTTTTTTTTCAGGAAAAAAGTTCATCAATCAATTTATATATATATAAATTTTTGTTTTATCAGGTGAAATAACTGATATCAGTCAAATTACATTATATAGACCAGATAATTCTCTTTATCCATTGACTACAAATCTTAATAAGACAAAACATTTGTATATGTGGAAAATTTTACAACCACATGTTGGTCAATGGCGTTTAACAACATCACAATTATTACAAGAATTTGATCATAATGTACAAATTCAAGGTAAATCAAGTATTGTCTGTTCATCTAGTTTACAGAAAGAAATGGAAGCAAATCCAGATAGTAATGGTTATACAGAATTAACAACAGAACCTCTTATCAATTCTAGTTTACTTATTTTGACGACATGTGAAAATGTCAACTTTACTTATGCTAATATTTCTCTTATCAATTCATCAGGTCAAACAATTGAAAGTTATTTACCCTTACAATCAGATCATATTGAAATATTAACAAAAATTCGTGTTCCTCAACAACCATTTCGAATTCAAACAATTCTTCAATTAGCTAATGGTATTAAAATTCAACGAAGTGAAAAACAACTTATTTCACCAACAATGTTTACTATTGAATTAATAAATCAACCATATATGTTATCAGTCGGTGAGACAATTCAAATGAATTATACAATAAACACTTCATTATCTGAACAAGTTCGTGTACGTTTACAAATAAGTGATACATTAAATTTAATGGGTTCTGATGGTATTGAGAAAAATTTAACATTTACTAAAGAAATATCTCAAATGAATTTATTTACATTACCGAAAGATTTTCAAGAAAAATCAATAAATGATATGGTTATATTTGCTTTGTCAACATATAACAACAAAACAAATAAAGTTTCGTATGAAAATGATGATATTGTACCTGTTTATTTCGAATTAAATTCAGCTTCCATTCCAAAGACAATTAATTATTTTATCTTTTTTCTTCTATCGACTTTTTTCTATCAAATTCATTTATAATTAAATCGCATTACAAATAATTACACATAATTGATTATTTTTGTTTCAGTTTTATTTATCTAATTTTGAGTGTGGAAAGCTTACTGTATTGAACTTACACTAATGTCTTGCAATCGGGTCGAATATTCGGCACTCGAACCGACCCGGTGCATGGGTCCTAGTACAAACTTGAGGGAGAGTGTGGGTATAGGTGTGAGTGTGGGTTTTCTTCTCAACAACACTCCCATCCATACCCTTTATTTACATGAATTGGTTGGACTTTAAACTACTATGCTGATTTGTCACACTTAGTACGCGCACCAATCCCGCACCAGCGTAACGTGCGCTGCACAACTCCGCACGGGCTGGTATTGGTATATATATATATGTATATATAATATATAGTTTTTCTTTCGTTCTGTGAAGCGAACACACTAACGAATAAACAAACAAAGATTTGGTCGTTGCTCAGCACATTACCCTCCTTTCTAGTAGAGAGAATAAAGAAAGAGAAAAAAATCTATTCATAAAAAAAAGGAAGAAACCTACGTGGAAAAAAAGACGGTGCTCGATTGGAAAATTGGTTGCAGAAGTGTATGGTGATACTTGTTTAAAAGAAAACCTACATCACTGTCAATGAGTACACCTGTAGTATTGATACGAATACAACCACTGGTGACAGATCTAATAGCGAACGAAAACATCTCTATTATCAATGAAAATGATGAGAAACGATACTATGCCAATGCTATTCATCGTCTGGTTCTAAAACTTGATCGAAGACTGATCCCTTTCTTGGTTCTTCTGGAAATTAGCTCATTCATCAATAGGGTGAGCATCGGTATGTGTTTTTGACTTGAATCATTCATCATTGGTGATATTCTCATAGGTCACACTAAACTGATGGGCATTCAAACTGATCTACATATGACAGCAGAGGTGCAGAATCTTCCAAAAATCTAAAAATTTCCCCCCACGCAAAAAGTTTTTTGAAAAATTTCCCCATTGTATTTTTTTTTGGCCAGTGGGTTTTCCCAAAATTTCCCTATTATTTGAGTTTTTCAAAAAATTTCCCTCCCCGCGCGGGGGCGCATGAGGAAGATTCTGCAGCTCTGTATGACAGACTCAGAGAATAATTGGGCTATTTCAGTCTTTTACATTGCCTGCGTAAGAAAATGACATTATTGATTTTCCAAGTGTTCTAATTCATCTTTCATTCTAGCTTCTCTTCGTTATTCCTAGCAATATTCTCATGCGCTTCATCAGAGCTGGGCAAGTACGGACTTTTTCGAGTACGAGTACTAGTACGAGTATCGACCTTCGAGTACGAGTACGAGTACAAGTACCGAACCTTCGAGTACGAGTACAAGTACGAGTACGTGAGCGCTTTTTTCGTGTGACTTCAATAGGGACACTTTAATTAGTAGTTTTGGAGATAGTGTATCAATTTCGGCATCGAGGAATTGTTCAAGTCATAAATCAAAATGTTTCAAATCACTTTTATTATCAAGTTTCAAGAAATCAAACTACAACAAAATTTCATTGCATTTAAGAAAAGCAAGTAAACATACACTTTTTGAAGTTAACAACGCGCGATGTCGACGCATTACAAAACCACTTAGAGAGAATATTTTTTCAATACGAGCTAATGTAGCTGTTACTGACAGGTACTTTAGGCCAAGTTGATATAGAGCAGGATAATGAGTTCTTTTTTAAAGAAAACCAAATTAGATTCATTACTTTTTTCCGACAGAAAAGCATCAATTTCTACCAAAATTTTTGGTTTCTCATCAAAATAAATCTTTTCATATCGTTCAAGTAAGGAAAAAGGCATTTTCTTTTTGTTATTGGATCAGAGTTTTTGTGTAAGTTTATCACTAGTATCTTCTTCAGCCACGTTCAGCTCATAAGCTCCTTCCTCCAGTAACACAGAAAAATTCAATTTAGAGAAAAAACGAACGAAAGCAGTACGACTTTTTTCGATAACACGCCACTTAACTACAACTTGAAGATTATCGAGCCATAAAAACTTAAAATGTGCATCTCGAAGTGGTTTAATTAAAAAAATAGGATAGAAAAACGTTCAGACATAGAATAAGAGGCAAACAGCACATCGAAATCGACTGTTCATTATATCGTCAAAAAACATGTACTGAAATATTATCAAGCATCATTTTACTACGATGCATAGTTGTTTAGGATTTCGAGTATCAAACCCTCGAGTACGAGTACGAGTACGAGTATCAACCCTTCGAGTATGAGTACGAGTACGAGTACCATAAAAAACGTACTCGAGTACGAGTACGTACTCGTACTTGCCCAGCCCTGCGCTTCATCGGTCCGACTTGTTATCTAGCATTGAGTATGCTTACATGGGGTAGCATCACCATCGGTATGGCTTTTGTAACTAATGCTCGACAACTCATCATTGTCCGCTTTTTTCTGGTAAGTTAATCGGATTTTAACTGATAATAAAACATTTCATAGTTGTCATTGGAGGGTGTGGCTGAAGCGGGCTATTTTGCAAGTATTATCATTTATTTCTCTCTTTGGTACTGTAAAAAAGAGCAAACTATGAGAATGGCTATACTGTGTGCAGCTGTTCCTGCTTCTGCTGGTGTCGATGGTATTCTGGTGCGTATTCGTCGATCTCATAATAAATCATCTATTTTGACGTTGTAGAATCTACTATTGTCATTATTCTAGATTTATGGTATCTGGCATATGCAAGACATCGGTGGTCTGAAAAGTTGGCAATGGACATTTTTACTCGAGGGTTTACCGATCATTCCTCTCGGCATTCTTGTCTATATTCTTCTTGACAAAATACCAAATGCTAGTCAGTGTAAGAGTTTAAAGAAGAATAAAAAATATTCAAGATACTTTTCGAAAATTAAGGGTGTGGGTG